ATGATAATTATCCATAATCAGAACATAGGTGGGTATGTTGATGTATTAATTACAGACAAAATGTTAACACAAGACGGAAGTCCATGTTTAACAGCTGAAAGAAATACCGCTATGCCGCGTTAATTGTCTGTTGTGTGACGTCAAAAGTCGACGTGAACAGATGAACGATGTTAAGTAACGGCCTGCACATTGAGACACTCATGTCTAATGTGACATTGGTGCATGAGTGAATTATTGCCAACAAATACAGACATTCTGCGCTTCGTTTGCAGTTTTTTTAAATTATTGGGTTTGTTATTTTTTACTTCAAACAAACACTAAAAATAGACATCGTCATTGTATGAATGTTACTTCTTTCTTAAGTTTAAAACATCCATGTATTTTTTGTGTATTTCATTCAAATTATTAGTTTTATCCAGCCTTTTCTTATCCTTACTAACGTATAGTTTGTTTCATGTCTTTGTTTTTCCTGCGTATTGTTATTTAAGACGATGTGCTAATCTTTCCCTAAGATTTTGCAATACGGTTCTGCGCAAGTTTTTCCGTGTTAGCCAATATGTAGGAGCTTACCGCAAGACGACGATTCACCCAAAATCACTCCACCCTAACAGAACCCACTACTCCACCCTAACAGAACCCATAACTCCACCCTAACGGAACCCACCACTCCACCCTAACAGAACCCACCACATCACCCTAACAGAACCCACCACTTCACCCTAACAGAACCCACCACTCCACCCTAACAGAACCCACCACTTCACCTTAACAGAACCCACCACATCACCCTAACAGAACCCATCACTTCACCCTAACAGAATCCACCACTTCACCCTAACAGAATCCACCGCATCACCCTAACAGAACCCCATAGACTAAAACAGGGGTACTAGTGTTGGGGTCGCCACCTGAGTTATCGCCCTCTTCAGGGCGCCAACCAGACACCCCGGGGCGCGCTGACATTTGGCCAGCCAGATGGCCTCTAGTGTCTCCACCAACCCAACAAAAATAGCGCAGCTAATGGTTGTACAAATGTTTTTACTTATTTAAAGAGCAACACTGACGTTTTGTGGTGGCGAGGTGTTCAGGGGAAATAAACGGCTTATTTAATAACAAAGGGGGAGAGAATTGACCCCATTGAGGCGGATTTATAATGCAATGAAAAGATAGCCATAACCACATGATTCCCCCTCTCCCATCTTGACGTTAAGATTAATGATCTATCACCAACAAAACTATTAACTACGTCAAATCATCGCCATCGCTACAATCCATTTCCTAGCACTACAAAAGGTACACACACACACACACACACAAGCACAGACACACGCAGATCCGAGACTTGTAAACTACGAGCAAATTTGTTGTGTTTTTAAGAAACATCTATAAACCCACATACGCAAATGTAATTATCAGGAACAAGTAATTTAAATTGTATGTTTGTAATTTTCGTACACAAGTCAATTGTTGATTTACTCACATAGATAAAAAAAATTAACTCATACGTTACCATAGAGAATAAAGTTAAGTCGCTTATTCCTTTATTTCTTTCTAATCGTATCCTCCACATGTTAATTAATTGCAAGGATATTACAGAACTAATTACAATGTTAAACCACACACCACAAAGATGCTATGAACACAGTCATTTAAAACAATGCTCATCGTTCAAAGCTAGAAATCCGATTACTTCAAACACAATGAGCTCAAAGATTTACTGGCAAATGCTAGACACAAAAAAATTGCGTATCAAAAATCAACCAGTATGAGCAGGTTTATAAGTGTAACAAGTCAAAGATGCGCGTGATGAAGTGGTAGAGTCACTAGTGAGTCAGACACATTTGTAGTGGAGTCACCCGTGTTGTGGAACAATCCTATTGTGATGTTGCATGTTCAGTTGGATGAGACAATATCGTCGCTCAATCTGGGCATGGGACGGCCCACTTGTAGCAGGGACACTCGGATGTAACGTGGAACAATTGTAGTAAAGTATTTATAGCATTATATACACACGTCATTTATACTTTTTTAAAGTAACAAAACATTGGTAAGTAACCGAAAAAATATTCTATTTTTGTTGCTTAGAAATAATGTCAGTGTACTACAGAAACAGTTTTAGTATGTTTTTAACTACATTGAGATTTGACTTGACTTAATGACTTGTTGTAGAAAACCTTTGTGTAGATAATTTTATTTACAGATTAACTCCCTTGAAAACATTAACTTTCTGATTGGAATGTTGATGGGTGAGCAAGGAAGAAAAAAATGTAACAGAGATTCGAGTGATCATTGATGACAACTGTCAGTAAGAAAACAGTCAGAGGGTTGTGACTCTAGAGGCTAAGAATGCTTACAGAAAGTCTAAAAGCTTACAGAAAGTCTAAAAGCTTACAGAAAGTCTAAAAGCTTACAGGAAGTCTAAAAGCTTACAGAAAGTCTAAAAGCTTAGAAAAAGTCTAAAAGCTTACAGAAAGTCTAAAAGCGCAGGACTGCTCAAAGAAAGTTGTCTTCTAGTTCAATATTAAGATAGATAAAAGCTTAAAAATATGTACTCGAACATCAGAAGAATGTCAGGCCTCTGAGTCTAAATTTGAGACCCTCGCTTGTTTTTATGAGACTGGTGGTCGCAGCGCTCTCCGCCCCGCCCCCTAATCCCAGCGACCATGACCTTTGTATTGTGAGTGATGGGGCATCATCAAGGAGCTATTTGGAGGGCTGTTGTACCGCCGTACGTCCACGATACAGCACCATTGTCATGATTCACGCGCCACTTAAAAGATAATCACCAACGGCCAATCTCGCACCCCCGGGCGTAGACCGGCCCATTGTGAGATACCAGGGGGGTGTCAGGCCCGGGGTCAACTGATATGGGATAATCTTTGAGGGATTAAGAAAAATATAGGTCAGCGGGGGTACTCGAATCTTATCGAAGTTGTTAATTTTACGGTATCGATATCTTTAATTTGACAGTTTGAGTACGTGTAAATGGACGATCGTGTGCCCTCCCACCCCTCCCCCAAACGTGGTCATTTCTCCATCACTACAACTGTACAACGAACCCATTTTAAGTCCCACACGTACAAACTTTCAAATTGCGTTAACCTACTTTTGTTTTAACTCAGCTGTTCGACCTAGAAAATATTACTGTGACATTTCCCTTCCCCCACCCCCGCTTCACACGACATACTACACCCCCGACCCCCTCGACCTAAATGCCACTACAGATCTAAAAAAAAAAAAAAAAAAAAAAAAAAAAAAAAAAAAAAAAAAAAGACCCCCGCAATGTCTCTTATCAGTGAAGACAGAATGCACGTAGATCCAGGAAAAAAAAAACAGGTCTGTAGCGTGTGACAAAAGGGGCACAACACGACACACACACGCCGCGGTCACCCTATACATGTCAGCCCAGCCAGTGTTATGAAAGGCCCGTACCCGTGTGTGTTTGTGGGACTCGAGATATTTGTGCTTGTCAACTTACAGACGTGACCTGAGAAGAAGGGGGGGGGGGAGGCGTGGAGAAAAGGGGGGGGGGTGTCAAACAGTAAAACATGTAAATAATGACACCAGAGGTAAACTTAGATCATCTTTGTGTAGGTAGATCTCTACAGAAAATTGTTCACTTAGTGTAAGCTACCGTCCTTACAATTTGGGGTACGAAAAGAGGATTCAATGACCCTACAGAGACCGACTCAATATCAATATTTGAGCTCCCTTTACTGTACTTTGTTAGTACAGTTTGTAGGCTGTTTTTATAGTGTAGTCCCCCCCCCCCTCCCTTCCAACTTTGTTTTTTTGTTAATGTAGTCTCCCCTTTCTTTTATGTATTACTATTATTTCCCTTTACTTTACAGTAGCCCTACCCCCCCCCCCCCCCCCCAACATCTACACTGTTCAATGGCTTGAAATTTGCAGCAATCAATCAAGATTGTAGAAACCATTTTTTTTTTTATTTTCAGCATATCTATAAAGTTGTGTTCAAAGCATGTATTCGGACAGCATTGGGCGAACTAAATGTACAAATATTTACATGTACAGGTACACTGTGCACGCACATGTATTATTTAAATATACCTCATGTGTAAAGACCTTCTGTATATCCATGTCTACCCTAGTGTGTTAGGCCTATAATAAAACTGTATCACCAGGTTGAATATATTTACAGGCCCTCAATATGTCAGTGTTAATCACCTTAGGTAAACACGGATCAGTGATATATGTAGAATCGTTTAACAGCTTGTATTTGTGTGCATGTATGTGTGAGGGGGGGGGGGAGTATTCACACTTTCGGTTGCAGGTCAAGGGCATATTGAACGTAAAAGACTTTTTAATCAACTTAAAACTTAATTAGTCTACGGTAATTAAACTCCTTACACTGGCTGTAATGTTTATGTTGGGAGGTGGGAAGTAGCCAATACAGTATAGATAGGGCATATGGGTGTGGGCAGGGTAGCTTTCACGCAGATTTCTCCCAAGTGGGGGAGGGGAGAGAAGGGCATTTGAAACATCTATGGGATGCGGACCGTATATATATATATATATATATATATATATATATATATATATATATATATATATATATATATATATATATATTGTGCGGGGAGAGATCTGAAAAAAACTGGGGGGGGGGGGGGGGGGGTAGGTTTAACCTATTGACAATTAGACGCATTAGAGTGGAACTGCTTTAATTACAGCACGCCTCTCATCCCAGCCATATAAAAAAGAAAAAAAGAATGGATGTTAACCCTACAAATCCTGGATCACCTGTGTGGTTAGGTCCATGTAGAGACTAGAGGAATGGCTGAATACAAAACTAGTGCCGAGCACATCAGAACGACACTTAACACTAATTACTACATTAATTAAATTCATTGTTGATGAGGTAATTACAGAAACAAACAATTTTAGCTTTAGAGATCTAATTAAATTTTACTTTTATGTTGATTAAAGAAACCAATTAGAAAAATATATTTCGGCCTAATTACAAAGATCTACATTACCTTAGAATAAGCGCTTCGATTCTTTTCCTTTTTCCGTTTCAACATTTTCACGAACTTAATCCAGATTTGTTAACACGACGAAGCTTAAACGTAACTAAACACACACATCAAACTGACTGACTGACTGTCCTAATGCACTGACGATATAGACCTATCCTTCAATTCATTCATCACAAACTCCTGATCTAGTCAGCAGTGAATGGCCACTAATTACGTACCAGAATTAATCAGGCCATTAGAAAACAATTTCAGCCATACGTTATCTACTGTCGTGTGCTACTGACGTAAGCACCACTTACACTGATGAAAGAAACAAACAAAAGTGCAAGAATCCACTTGAGCCAACAGCGTCACAGAAAAAACAATTAGTTCCTCATACTTGGCCAATGTTCCCCGTGTTTATGCTAGTTCCTGGCCAATGTTCCCCGTGTTTATGCTAGTTCCTGGCCGCACGTCCCTAAATACCTGAACATGTTCCCCAAGTTAGGTCCCACGTGAATCATCCTTCAGTAGAGAACTGACCACAACAAACGCCGGTCTGTCTCCCCCTCCCCCCACCGACGGCTGGTGACTGGCAGACGGTAGGTTCACGGCCAGCTACAGGTTGCATTCTAAGACGCGGGCCGGCGGGTGAGAGGGGCGGGGGCGGAGCACGGTGGCCCTCTCCCGACAGGAACCCAGTAGACGCTGTATCGTGCCTGGGTTGGGGGGGGGGGGGGGGGGTAGAGATACCACCACTCGAATGTTCCTAAGTTTGGTTGTTCGATCCCATGTAAGGTAACAACTACATACACGGAGAGGTAAGGGGCAAATGTTTTCTTATCGTTCTTTACCCACATGCACCTATCCACACACACACACACACCTATCCACATATGCACCTATCCATACACATCCACACACACAACTATCCACACGCACTCCTATTTACACGAGCACCTATCCACCAATGCACTTATCCACACACTTCTATCACACATGCACATATCCACACACTCTTAGTCACACACACATCCACATTCTATCCACACACTCACCCATTTACACACACACACCTAGGCCACAGAGCAATCCTCACACTCAAATCCACACACTCACCAAACTACAAACACCTAGCCCACAGACCTATCCCCACACAACTATCCCCTCACTTATACATTCCCACACATTGTGTTACAGTCCACTTAGAATTGTGTGCCCTGATTTGACTAAACCCCAACACAAGCTAAAAACAAAAGCTAAGATAAACATTGGCTTGTATTGCTTGTATACAGATCACACACCCGAGCCTTCAAACTTTGATCTGTACCGTATGACGATCAAACGCTGAACATTTATAAACATTGGACCATAACATTTATGGCAGAAAAAAGTAGACCACACACGAAGTACACTTAAACCAGTTTATTAAGTTTGAGATCACATGACATGACGTCATGTAGGGCCGGTGCCCCCCCCCCCCCCCCCCCATAAGCGCAACAGTGACCATCACAATTCTAGAAGCGGTTTAAATCAACGTCCACATCTTGTGTGATACGTGTGGGTTTAGAGTCGTGCGGGCTTTGTGGTAGATAGGTGTGTGAGGGTTGTGTGTGAGGGATGTGTGTGAGGGATGTGTGTGATTGATGTGTGTGAGCGGTGGGGCTGTGTGGTGAAAATTGTGTGTGTGAGAGTTGTGCTAAGAGATAAAGGTGTGTGGTTGTGTCTCTGATTGGCATGGCTGTGTGGTTGTGTGGTATGGCTGTGTGGTTGTGTGGAATGGATGTGTGGTTGCGTGATATGGCTGTGTGGTATGGCTGTGTGGTTGTGTGGTATGGCTGTATAGCCCTAAACAGCGCCACTAAGACTGTAAATGAACATTCAAGTAGCCTTAAGCAGCGTCAGTTACCCAATACAAAAGAATTTAAAAAAAAAACCTGTTTTGTCTACATCAATTCAGCCATTGTCTACAGACACGAAGAAAAAAATCCTAATCTAAAGCAGCCGGTACCAATTAGTTCCCTCGATGTTAAACTACAACCTCCAGCTTGTATAACTCGCTGCCCGCGCTCTATGTACAGCTGTATATCAGTTATCACGTTATAAACTTATAATGCAAGTATATATGACAGAAATATAATTTTCTTAAAAATTTAGTGTTGATTATTGCGGATGGTTTTTCTTTAAACAGCGTTCATTCAAAACATAATAGACTAAAACATGTGACCATGGTGTATATAAGCCTAGATTTTCTAGTCAACATCACTTGTTCAACCTCTAAGTGATCTATGCTTTCCTGCCACTCGGTCGTGAACTTGTTGCTGCGACTTTTGTCTTATTACAAGAAACTATAAAGTGAACTTGCTACATCGTGCTGCAAATTGTATCTAAACAAGCCACCTGAAACTATAAAGTGAACTTGTTACATCGTGAACTTGTTGCTACGACTTTTGTCTTAACAAGCTACCAAATCTATAAAGTGAACTTGTTACATCGTGCACATGTTGCTGCAACTTGTATCTAAACAAGCCAGAAGATTGGGCACATGTTGTGCATGTTGCTGTTGCAACTCTGCCATACATCACGTGACTGCCACTCTCCCCGTCCAACAGATGGGACACGTGGTGTGGTTCAACACGGTGCGCTTACACGGTGCGATTACATGGTGCGATTACATCTTATATGGTGCGATTACATCTTACATGGTGCGATTACATCTTACATGGTGCGATTACATCTTACACTGTGCGATTACATCTTACATGGTGCGATTACATCAAATATGAGGCACACATGACTCACATGGTGCACTCACAACTCACGTGGTGCACTCACAACTCACGTGGTGCACTCCCGTGATGCGCTATGTGGTGCGCACATTGTTTCTCCCACAGCCACATGTGGCTAAAACCATCACCGCTGTCTTGAACAAAAAATGATTTGTGGGCTTACAACAATTGCCACTTTGGTAATCCATCTTCGAGTTTTGTCTGGTGAACAGGGGGGGGGGGGGTTTGAAGTGGGGGCGGTAAGGAACAGACGTGGATGAAAGTTTGGTGGGGGGGGGTGAAGTGAGGAAATGATACAGGATGGGTGGGTGAGGGAGGATGCACCAGTTGGAAACCCCTGACCAGTGGCGGATTAAGGGGGGTGCTGAGGGGGCTGCAGCCAGGGGCCCCCGATTTTTAGGGGCCCCCAAATTTTCTTTTTCAGTCATAGTAAATTTCCGTTTTAAGTGAATTGTTTTTTAATATTTGAATCACAAGTTTATTTCAATTTTTGATCAAAATATCAAACTCGAGAACACACTTTAGTATAAATACCAGCCCGGACAGCGTTTGCTTATGACAATAAATTGGGTTAATTTTAGAGTTAAAAACACAAACAGCGGTCGAATTCTGAAACATAAATGACATGAAGCTGGTGTGAACACTCTATGATTTAAACTTTTTAAAACACTTGTAAGCCTTTACTTTTAGTGAACGTTAATATCGGGTTTACAGGCCAGGGATGACTTTCTTTAAATGGACGCCTGTGGAAATCCAACGTTTTGTTGGCCTCATAAATGGATCACACCTATGAGGATGGAGGTGTGGTTTTTTTACGCTAATACCGTGCTTACTGTTTTAGTTGGGCCTAGTTTAACCTCTGTATGTTATTAATAATTTCCTACATAGAGTAATTTGAAATTATCTTTTGTCTTTTTGCATCTGCAATCAAACAAGTGCCAACAGTCTTTATAGTCTGCTCTATAACGACATTATAATATGCCCAATATAAATTATTGAATGACAGTATAATAACTATCTTGACACGGATATACCGGCTCAGGAGGTTGACTCCAATTAGCCAGGCAGGCCTCGACGTAGTGAACTCCAACCAGTGGCGTAGACAGGATCGTCTCAAGGGGGGGGGGGGGTTCCAATTTTTACCCGGGGACGAACTTTCGATTTGCACCCCCCCCCCCCCTCAAACTTTCGATTTGCACCCCCCTCAAACTTTCGATTTCCACCCCCATCATACTTTTTATATATATACCGAGGGGTCTATGGGGGGGGGGGTTATGACCCCCCCTAACCCCCCCCCCCCCCCACTGCCTACGCCACTGACTCCAACTAAATGGCAAACTGTGGACAAAATCAGTCTCACGAAGATGTTGGTTTGAAACACTACATGTTGGTCGCTTATTCATCCGTAGGCGCTCACCTGGCTTAACTTCCCCCACCACCAGACGCGGGACATCGTCCAACCACCAGGTACGCAGCTAAAAATGAGTACATATTGGTTAGATGTTAGGGAATCGGCGTGGTCGAGTCGATAAAGCTCGTGGATGCTTAACCGAAATGTCTCGAGTTCAAATCCTCGGGCAGATGAGGCTCGTTAGCTGGGAATTGCTACTCTTCTAGGAGAGACAACTCCAAAATCAAACATCTGCTGTAGTTTGTAGACAAAGGCTATGGAAACAAATTTAAAAAAAAGAAAAGCAGGCTGAAATCGGAGTCAATGGTCTCAATGGCGCATAACCAGTTGACACGTATACTTAATTATCTTGGAGGGGATCCCTTCCAACACTAAAATTAAGAACGAAGAATAAGAGAAGAAGAAGAAGGTAATTGAACACAATTGACAGCTTTCTAAATTAGCAGTTTTGTAAATATCGGCGTCGAATGTTCCTATAAGTTATAAATAATCCATTAATATCTTGAATAGTATGCTGATTAGGATATATATATATATATATATATATATATATATATATATATATATATATATCAGGGGCCCCCAAAAAGTTTCAGCCTGGGGCCCCGCCCAAGCTTAATCCGCCCCTGCCCCTGACATGTAAACCAAAGGTATCTGCGAGAGGGCCTTATAAGAGAAATGTTTGTCTCGTGGGAGGGGGGGGGGGACTATCTGCTCCACTTTTTTTCTAAGATGTGTGGATGTTTTGTACCGATGAGGTACAGTTTGGTATGTGTTGTACACCCACTCCCTCCTCACATAACTCCAACACTTCCCTAAACAACCCACAATCCCCACACTCTCCTAAACAAATCACAATCCCACTCTCATAAACAAATCACAATCCCACTCTCATAAACAACCCACAATCCCCACTCTCTCCTAAACAACAAACAATCACCCACACTCCCCCTACTACCCACAATCCCACACACTCTCCCAACTACCCACACCCCCCCACACTCTCCTAAACAACCCACAATCCCCACTCTCCTAAACAGATCACAATCCCATTCTCATAAACGAATCACAATCCCACTCTCATAAACAATCCACAATCCCCACACTCTCCTAAACAACAAACAATCCCCCACACTCCCCCAACTACCCACAATCCCCCACACTCTCCTAAACAACAAACAATCCCCCACACTCCCCCAACCACCCACACAACTAACCCGACAAAAGATTCCACAAGCGCTTTACAAGCAATCCCACAACGTTCTGAGCTCAAGTAGACGCATGCGCAGACCACTCGATACAGAGCAATTGGGAAAAAACAATACAAGTCGAACAAAGAAAGTTTTACCCACAAGTACAATACATGTAACATTTACTGGAGACAACAT